GAAGAAGCAAAAAATACCCAACCGGAAAAGCAAAATGAAAAAAGAATCCGAAAATACGAAGATAGTGTAAGGAGCCTCTGGGACAACTTCAAGTGTACCAACATCCGAATTATAGGGGTGCCAGAAGAAGAGAGAGAGCAAGATATTGAAAACCTATTTGAAGAAATAATGACAGAAAACTTCCCCTACCTGGTGAAAGAAATAGACTTACAGGTCCAGGAAGTGCAGAGAACCCCAAACAAAAGGAATCCAAAGAGGACCACACCAAGACACATCATAATTAAAATGCCAAGAGCAAAAGACAAAGAGAGAATCTTAAAAGCAGCAAGAGAAAGACAGTCAGTTACCTACAAGGGAGTACCCATACGACTGTCAGCTGATTTCTCAACAGAAACTTTGCAGGCCAGAAGGGAGTGGCAAGAAATATTCAAAGTGATGAATGCCAAGAACCTACAACCAAGATTACTTTATCCAGCAAAGCTATCATTCAGAATTGAAGGTCAGATAAAGAGCTTCACAGATAAGAAAAAGCTAAAGGAGTTCATCACCACCAAACCAGTATTATATGAAATGCTAGGTGGTATTCTTTAAGAAGAGGAAGAAGAAAAAGGTAAAGATAAAAATTATGAACAACAAATACATATCTATCAACAAGTGAAAAAAATCAAGAAGTGAATAAAAAATCTGATGAACAGAATAAACTGGTGAATATAATAGAATCAGGGGCATAGAAAGGGAGTGGACTGACAATTTTCGGGGGGAAAGGGGTATGGGGGTGCAGGAAGAGACTGGACAAAAATCGTGCACCTATGGATGAGGACAGTGGGGGGTAAGGGCAGAGGGTGGGGTGGGAACCGGTGGAGGGGAGCTATGGAGGGAAAAAAGAGGAACAACTGTAATAATCTGAACAATAAAGGTTTAATTAAAAAAATATACTGTGGTGAGAGAGCAGGACGTCTGGCTTGCAAGCAGGAACCTTTGTATCACATGTGATGAAAGCTCAATTTAAAAATGGGTGATGTTGAGAAGGGCAAGAAGATTTTTGTCCAGAAGTGTACCCAGTGCCATACTGTACAAAAAGGAGGCAAGCACAAGACTGGGCCAAATCTCCATGGTCTGTTTGGGTGAAAAACAGGTCAGGCCTAACCAGAACAAAGGCATCACCTGGGGAGAGGAGATGCTGATGGAAAATTTGGAGAGTACCAAGAAGTACATACCCAGAACAAAAATGATTGTTGCTGGCATTAAGAAGAAGGCACAAAGGGAAGACTTGATAGCTTATCTCAAAAAAGCAACTAATGAATAGATGCCTTATTTAATACAAAAATATCTCGTGACTTTTTTTATGTGTACCATATTTAAATTGATCTCATACTCCAGAATTCAGATCATGAAAGGTTGAGAGAATATTTCTTTGGACAGTCCTAATTTACAGAAGAGTGACTTGCGGTTAAATGGACATGATCAGCTTTTTGAAATCTGAAAGTAATTTGGTCCAGCAAGTGCTATTACTGGTTTTCCTTTCTAAAGATATGACTGAACTTGATTAACAATGTTAAACTTTCACAGAGATGGTGAATCCAATATCAAAACCTGCTTGCAAGCCCTGGCCCGTGTAGCTCAGTTGGTTGGGTGTTGTCTGTGTACTGAAAGGTTTCGGTTCAATTCCCAGTTAGGGCACATGCCTGGGTAGTGGGCTTGATCCCCAGTAGGGGGCATGCAGGAGGCAGCTGACTGATGTCTCACTCTCACATCAATGTTTCTCTCTCTCTTCCCCCCTTCCTCTCTCTCTAAAAATCAATAAAAAAATCTTTAAAAGGCATCCTATCCTTTATCTTATTAAAAATATAAGCCTATAGGATATTGACTTTATATTTAGATGTATGTAAGTGATTATGTTAATGTGTTTAAATACTAAGGAAATGCCTTTACCGTCTCTTAGACCAGCAAGATTTGCCTATGTTTCAAGTTTTATTCATTAGCCTGTTAGAGGTGAGGGCTGGAGATGAGCTGGCAGTGTCCACTTCATCTTTTTGGTCTTAACTAAACCAATTTAATTAAAATCCCATGTATCTAATTAAAAAAATCCCCTGTATCTAAAATGTGCCTTTTACTTAATGAGAGGCATTTTTGTGTAGTTATCTATAATATCAAATAGAAAATACTTAGCACTATAGGCTATATTCTCATGTAAAATAATCTTTCGTGAAGTTACTTTTAAAAAAATATTTTTTTTATTGATTTCAGAGAAGAAGGGACAGGGAGAGAGAGATAGAAACATCAATGATGAGAGAATCATTGATCGGTTGCCTACTGCACACCAGGGACTGAGCCCGCAACCTGGGCGTGTGCCCAGGCTGGGAATCGAACCTCCTGATTCATAGGTTGATGCTCAACCACTGAGCCATGCCAGTCAGGCTGTGACATATTTTTTATTTTATTGATTTTTTGCAGAGAGGAAGGGAGAGGGATAGAGAGTTAGAAGCATCGATGGGAGAGATACATCGATCAGCTGCCTCCTGCACATCTCCTACTGGGGATGTGCCCACAAACAAGGTTCATGCCCTTGACTGGAATCGAACCTGGGACCTTTCAGTCCACAGGCCAATGCTCCATCCACTGAGCCAAACCAGTTAGGGCTGTGACATAATTTTTAATGGCTGTGTTGTATTCCATTTTATGGTTACATCCTTTCATTTAACCAGTTCCTTATTGCTGGATCTCCAGGCTGCAGTTCTACTCTTTTAAATTATCTTTGGTTCTAACATCAATAAAGGCTGGAACAGTAGAGAAAAATATCATACACACATACACACAAAGTGCAGAGACAGCCCTCTTCTACTTTAATAAAGTATTTACCATTCTCAGACTCAGACACCTGTGGTCATGCAGCTACAATGACTCAGAGACTCAGAAAAAGATGGAACAAAAATTTTAAAAAAAGAAAGAAAAGAGCAACCTCTCTCCACTCCGCCTATAACAATATGCATTGTGAAAAGGCATTAATTCCTTACCTTTGTAATTCATTTACAATTGAAGTATGAACTTTCATTGCTATTTTGCCCTCCAACTGTGTTTTCAGTTCTTGGCATTCGGTACATAAATTCTCCAGTTGCTTCTTGCTTTTAGTTAGCTCCTTTTCTTGGCTCTGCGTTTTAGTCTCCAGAAGCATTAGTTGTTTAGTCAGCTTAGAAACTGAAAAACAAAAGGGAGGGGCAAAGCCTTGGTACAGGAAATTTAATATATGGTTAATGATTACTAATGAGCCAGCTTATAAAAAAAATAATATTTTAAAAATCTTTTGGAGATTTATAAATACCAAAGACCTTGTACTTAGAAATCACCATCCCTATATTAAGCATTCACTAAACATAAACTCTCTTATTGAAATTCAATATCTTGATATAATTGTTAAATATACAATATTTAACAAGATATGGTTTTAGTCTTCAAGGAACTGTCTAAAAACTGAAACCTTGAGTCACATGTAGGTATGCGAGCACACCTCAGGATGTTGGCCCTAAAACTGCAAGATTTTCAAGGACATCAATTTGGTCAAATGAAATCAAGGATCCTGATTTAATGTATGATTCTGATTTAATATGGAACCCCAGCACTATTCCATTTCTTCACAGCATGCCCACTTAATACGCCTTAGCCCTTTCCTTTACTGGTCATTAACCCCCTAAGGCAGCCAGAAACAATGGCCATGCCTGGACTCAGGGTCACAAGGTATGGGTTTCCATTAAGCTAAAGATAACATCATGGCCTGTGTTGTGTTTCAGCTCAAGTTCTAAAGCAGAGTGATCTCTGACCATGACCCCGTGAAACCATACTGAGAGACTCAAAGCTGACCGCAAGACTTAAAATTATTATATACCTCACTCTTTTTAAAAATGTATTCATTGATTTGAGAGAGAGAGAGAGAAACATCGATTTGTTGTTCACTTATTTATGCATTCATTGGTTGCTTCTTGTAGGTGCCCTAACTGGAGATCAAACCCACCACTTTGGCATATTGGGAGGACATTCTAACCAACGGAGCTACCCGGCCAGGGCCCCTTACCTCACTCTTGACCTTACTCATCATAACTTGTGATTTTGCTCTATACAACCCCTTGTCTATAAACCTTCAAGTTCGGGCTTTTGAGCATTAGCTTTCCGTTCTCCTGGGTGACGCCAATCATAATAAAATAGCCAATCTTTCTCCATTATTTTCCTTCCCTTTTTTTCATTAAGTTTTTGTTTTATTATGTCCGGTATCTAAAGTAAATCATAAATACTTCATCCTATTTGACAGAGTAGTACGTAATAATAAGATAGGATACTTCCTGGGCATCTGTTGAAACTAGTACATATTTACTAGTTGAAACTAGTTGAAACTAGTATTACAGCATAAAACCTTAAACCCTTCCACTCCATAAAAACACTTAGCTGGTCAAAATAAATAGCTATTTCTGGGAAACAGAAAAATAACAGGCAGCTGACTGAATCATATAGGCCAAAAGGTTGGCCCCGCCCCACATGACCAGAAGAATCATACCTATTCAGATCTGTTCTGTTTGAGAACATTAAGCTTAGTCAATATGAAATTAATTTTCCCTGTCATCTCTAATCTTGAAAGCAAAGATAGGAGGCTCAACATCATTCACTCTCTCCCCTTTCAGACAAATAACGCCAGAGCAGGCGCACATACTTCTGTGCTGCGCACAGACCAGGGCGTGGGGATGTCCTGTGGAGGAAACTCGCTGGACTCTGAGATGCTCTCACTTTCAAACATGTCCTGGCTGCTAGAAACAAGGGAAGTGCTAGCCTCAGTCAGCAGCAGCAGAGGCTGCTGGTTTAACTCTTCCAGTTGTGGGAAGGGGAGGGTTCAATATCGGGGTGCAGGAAGGAAAACACAGGAAGAGTTACTTGGGCTCACGCAAGACAGCTTGTATTTCGGCCTCCTGTCCTATATTGTTCTTCACTGGGAAAGAAAATTCAGTAAAACAAAAGGAAAAATGCCACTATCTTTTTGTTTATAAATTTTGGTTTTAATGAAAGTGGAAGAAATGACTATTATCTGGCCCACTTCAAAGTCCAGTTATATATACTGAGGCCCCTAGGGGCAGGGAAGGACACCTGTGTAAGTATCTGACAGATTTAACCTCTGACAACACCCACAGCTCTGAAGGAAGGGCAAAGCACAGAGAAACTGTTTAGAGACCCAGTAGTACCACTTATTTACTCATTCAACAAATAGTCAGATACAGATCCTTGTGTTGTCACCTACAATTGATTTATAAAATATACAGAATAATTAAAGCAACACTGGAGCCTAAGAGGAAGCAATCAATGCATAATGGGTAAAGGCTGGATATGTTGTAACATAAACAACAGCATTTCAGTAAAGGAAACTATATGCTAAGAAACATGATCTTCTCTATTTTCCATTTAGAGGGGAGCCCTCCCAGAAAGAGGGGTACAAGTGTAAAATGACAGGACAAAATCACGGCATCGCCATCACTCACGGGAAAGACAGCTCACCTTCCTGGAGACGCTCCTGGTGGGTGTCCTTGACTTTTCTTTGCTGAATCTCCAACTGCTCTATCAACAACCTGTTTTCCTCTAAAACCAATTCCGCCTGAGTCTGAAGCCGATGCCTACAAGGGATTTACAAAATTAAATACTGCCATTCAGGTGCTTTGTGGTTAGAGACAGTCAGAGTCTAAAAGAAAGTATACTAGTAGATGCTGTAGGGCAGTGGTTCTCAACCTTCCTAATGCCGCGACCCTTTAATACAGTTCCTCATGTTGTGGTGACCCCCAACCATAAAATTATTTTCATTGCTACTTCATAACTGTAATGTTGCTACTGTTATAAATCGTAATGTAAATATCTGATATGCAGGATGTATTTAGGCGACCCCTGTGAAAGGCTTGTTCGACCCCCAAAGGGGCTGCGACCCACAGGTTGAGAACTGCTGCTGTAGGGAATGAATATCTGGACATGTTTTTTGTTTTATTAATCCTCACCCAAGGATATTTCTTCCATTGATTTTTAGAGAGAGTGGAAGGGAGAGAGAAAGAGAGGGAGGTGGGGAGAGAAACATCGATCGTTGCCTCCTGCTGCACTTGGACATATTTTAATGCTAAACATGTTATTAACACATCAACCCCACCATATGCATTAAATGGGGAGAAAGGACAGTATGAAGTTTAAATTATGAATTTCTTAGTAACTTTTTAAAATGTAAAATTTCAAACATATACAAAAGTAGTAAGAACAGAACGATTAACTCCCATGTATATACAACACCTAGCTTGAACAATTATCAAATGGCTAACCTTGTTTCATCTACATAAACCTCCAATCCCCCCACCCACTGGGTTATTTTGAAGCCAGAATGAAATAGTTTAAAGAATTTAGAAAGTTCCCATTTTAATTAAAAAATACTGACTTGTAATCATATCTGCAAAAACAAACAAACAAAAAACCCCCACCTCCAATAGCATTAAAAGCCTTTGGACAGTTCCTTAAACTACTGAGACTGCCCAGCCTAATTTCACAAGCAAACCCTTTCCTTACAGTTGGTAGAAAGTTAACTCCAGCTCAAGGCAACCTTCATGGTCACAAATTCCAATTCGAATGAGCGGAAAGAATCGTAGAGATCTAGATAAATGTTTACCACCCAAAGTACACTTACACCAGTAAATTATCTCCATTTCCACTCTAAACTAAAGAATGAGGTGGAGGAGGAGGAAAAAGGATGAAAGGAATCAAGGTTTTATATTGATGACTTCACACTGACAGTGGCTGTGCACTAGCTCCTTGGCACCCTGGAGGTGTCCCTACCAGCTACGCCACCATGGGAGAGAAGGCCTCATTCCTGCTTTGCACAGAGCAGATCCATTTAGTCTGTTTTGTTTGGGACTTCCTTATAAGACTTACTTTCTTCCCTCCCTCCCCTCCTTCCCCTCCCTCCCTTCCCCCCTCTCTCCCTCTCTCCCTCTCTCCTTCCCTTCCTCCCTTCTTTCTTTTGTAAAGGAAAGGGCTTCCCTATTCCTACAAAAGAGACAAAAACCTCGGATTTAGTTTAGCACTCCTTCCCATTTTATAGGTCAGTGATGTCGAACCTATGACACACAAACTCATTTTTTTGGTTGATTTTTCGGCATTTAAATATATAAAATAAATATCAAAAATATAAATCTTTGTTTTACTATGGTTGCAAATATCAAAAAATTTCTATATGTGACACGGCACCAGAGTTAAGTTAGGGTTTTTCAAAATGCTGACACGCCGAGCTCAAAAGTTTTGCCATCACTGTTATAGGTAAAGGAACTGAGCCTGAGGTGATCCAGTTGGTCAGGGGACGTTAGGAAAAGAAGTTGCAGCCTAGAAGTTTATTAAGCTGCGTTGAAAGTAAGGAGAAAACTTCCACTGAAGCGCAAAGTCAGTGCGCCTGAGGATCTGCTGGGGATGTATGGTACCTCACACCTGTGCAGGTACAGGGAGCAGCAGCCAAGGAGGCGCACAGGAGGACACAACTGTGAGGGGCTTCAGGAGTGTGATGCTCCAGAGCCCGGGGTCCCCTTCCTGAGATGGAGGACAGTCAATTCGAAGGGGCCTCAACAGGCACTGCACAGACCTAAGAGCTGCTCTCCTCCCCACCAGCGCAGGCCACCACCAGAGCAGGGTGCACAATTCAAATGGCAATAAACACAGGATTGGGGAACACGGCTGGGATTAAAAGTGGGATCTTTCTTCCTTTTATTTTATTTACTAGAGGCCAGGTGCACAAAATTTGTGCACTTGGTGGGGGACGGGGAGGTCCCTCAGCCTGGCCTGCATCCTCCTGTGTGGGAGGCCCCCTGTCAGGGAAGGTGCCATGGCTTTCTTTAAGTTATGTTGACTGAACCCAAGGCTTGGGCATAGCCCTACCTTGGGGGCATTTCTGGCCAAAAGGTGAGAATGCCTTCAGCTCAACTCTTCAAAGCCCAGGTGCTGGGAATGGGTTTTTATTAGGTAAATTTAGTCAAGTACCTGGAATACCTCCCTTATCTTGAGTTTTGGTGAAACCTCCTGATATTTTGGGGAATTGGAACCGACCAGGACTATAAAATAAACACGCTGCCTTGGGACTTGGCTCTTTGCCTCTCCACCAGAAGAGGACAGAAGTCCACCCAGGCCCAGCTTTGCTTTCTATTTTGTGTCTGTCTTTCATTTTTCTCAATCCCCAAGGCGCCTCCATTTGAAGGAACCGGTTCACACTCTCTTTCCCGTGCGGGACGCGGAGAAGGGAGCCCCATGCCCTGGAACACCACTGGTTTAACACCCCATGGCCAGGCACTTGCGCTCCATCAATTACCACTCCCCAAGTTCTTCTACGACCTGGCCTGGCAGGGCCTGTTCCCAAGCTGTAGGCCCAGAGCACCATGCAGGACACGCTGGGCATGGTGTTGAGAATCACACAGTACATTCAGGGGGCCAACTGTGTCCCCCGGCTACTCTTCAAGGAAGCCATGCTCACCTACAACAGGAGAGCCCCAGTGAGGAGTCCTTCCACCTCATTCCCTTCATGGGGGTGGTGGAACCTGGAATAGTGGAACTGCCCTTGACCAAGTCAGGAGACACAGATGATGCAGTCCCCTTGGGCTTCATCTGTATGCTTTCGTCCACCCCACCATACAGATCTGCGGCCAACAAAGAGGCCTTGCCCACCCCACCCACCTCCCCCAGGCAGGGCATTAATGCTGAACCGATGGGGCTTAAGGTAGATTATTTGAGGGCAGCCCAGCCCACAGACAGGAAGAGAGACTTGGAGAACAAAGACCTGGCTACCACCGAACACACACTCAAGTGCGCCGTCTAGTCTCTCTAGATCAGCAGGCTGCCCAGCAGTGGTGAGGCTGCAGCCACGTCCAACATGTCCATGACAGTGTCTCCAAGGAGAAGAATAAGAAGGTGTTGTTTTTGCCCAAGAAAATCAAGGAAGGGACATGAAATGAAAGCCAGTGCCTGGAGGGCATAAGCCGCCTGGTCTGCAGGGCCAGCACCAGGAGAATAGGCTGCGGGTCCTCATGGAAGGTGCGGTGTGGAATGCCGGGAAGTTCTTCCAGCTGGAAGCCCAGGGTCCTCCCACGTCCAGCACTTCCCCATCTGCATCTCCAGACACTCCGACTCCACCTTCCAGCCCTGCCGGTGGCCCTGCTGAATCCATGCAAGTGAGGGCCCACCTGCTCTTCTGTTAACCTTTCAATTTAGTACAGAAACCGACCCTAGGAACACAAAGAGAAACCTTCTTAAGTACGAATGTGCTCACAGCCCGGAAACTAATGTGGGGCCCCCATTGAGAGCCCCAACTGCTCTGCTGATTAACC